GACATGGCCCGACAGATTCGGGAATACCAGGATCTGATGAACCTTAAGCTGGCCATGGACATTGAGATCGCCACCTACAAGAAGCTCCTTGAAGGCGAGGAGATGAGGTAATGGAAGAACACATCTTGAAAGCACCGGGGTTTTTCTAAGTATGTTACAGAGCGCTTGGAAGGTGAAGTAAGATTAACTTCTTTCTCACAGAGCCCTTAATGTGGAGAAAAGCTTGCAAATACAGTTTTGTTTGAAATTTACTATTCTGTTCATTTGATGGTAGTCAGCAATTAGTTTAAATTCTAGGAGATTGGAAATTGGAATATAGTTTTGAGTATTGGACTCCATCATCACGACACTTGCTACAATAAGTATCACTAAAGAATTTAATTGAGAACACCTAACTACAATGGGAAAAGTTTCCATTAATTCACAAAGGTGTTTAAAAGACCGAAATAATCAAACTTGCATGCAGATGCCATGATTTAATCAAGCAGCCATGGTTATAACTAAAATTAATGTGATTTTATAGCAAGGACAAAATGATAATTCAAAAAGGTTACATGACGCACAAAAGTACCAGATTTGCTAAAGATACTGCATAAGATTAGAAAAATATCTTGTCTTACAACTATGGAGTAACATTAAGTTATTTATTTAAAAAAGCTCCCACAGTAGATTGTCTGCTTGTGTAATTTAAATGAATTATGCACTGTTTCTCACACAATATAATTATTTTATATGCAGCCGACCAAGACTGTTTTTTTATTGGCATTTGTTTTGCTTCAATTTACTATGGAAGAAGCCTGAAATTTATTAAACATTTATACACTGATAACTCTTATTCCACACTAAATTTTGCAATATGTCCAGAAATATGGTACTAAAGTCTTTTGAAAGGGCTACTACTTGGTCAGTTTCTCATAAATAAAGACCTATGCTTTTTTTTTTAGATGGTTTGGGAATCATCACTTCCCTATAATAATAATGTCAGTAAGCCACAATGTTATTGAATTCTTGGTGTAATAGAGGAACTGTGAATGTGAGTCACCTGAAATATGTTTAATTAGCAAAATATTTAAGTAATCCCATGAGTGTCATATTTTTTAAATGCTACAAAATTAGCCAAACTGTGGAAATAAAAAGAGATGCAAAACGACCTAAAATAGTTAAGCAGAATAAGTCATTTAAAATTGAAGCTATCGTATATTATAGAAATTGACAGTTGAAAAGACAATTGAAAAGACTTTTCTATAGGAACCACTATAGATATATTG